ACCAGTCTCCGCGTAATATGTACCAATGTCAAATGGGGAAGCAAGCGATGGGAACTCCTGGCACATCTATACAGTACCGTACCGACAACAAACTTTACAGACTACAAACCGGACAAACCCCTATTGTTCGCCCACCTCTCTACAACTGCTACGGACTCGACAATTTCCCCAATGGCATGAATGCCGTGGTTGCTGTCTTATCGTACACTGGCTATGACATGGACGACGCAATGATTATTAATAGATCCGCTCATGACAGAGGATTTGGATGGGGCACGATTTACAAAACGAAAGTATATTGCCTCGACGAAAAAGAATCTCGAGGCCGGGGAAAAGCGAAACGAGAGATTGCCAAACTTTTCGGATTCGCACCGGGTGGTCTTATCAAGGGGGAATGGCGGCAAACGCTGGATGAGGATGGTCTCCCTCACATTGGTGTGCGGGTTACTGAAGGCAGCATCGTTGCTGCATGGCACACTGTCCGCTTCGATGCAGTATCGAACTCATACATTAACATCGACAGGCAAACCCACTTCTTTAAGTACAAAGACACAGAGGAAGGCTACATTGACAGCGTCCGGATCCTCGGTTCCGAAACAGGCGGTGACCCCTGCCAAGCCATCAGCATCAAATACCGTATCCCACGTAAACCAGTTATTGGAGATAAATTTTCCTCTCGCCATGGACAGAAGGGTGTCTGTTCCCAACTGTGGCCTGCAATTGACATGCCATTCTCTGAAAGCGGAATCCAGCCCGACGTGATTATCAACCCGCATGCATTCCCCTCCCGAATGACCATCGGCATGTTTGTCGAGTCCCTCGCGGGGAAGTCTGGTGCTCTACACGGCCTCGCGCAGGACTCCACCCCCTTCCGATTCTCTGAAGAGCATACCGCAGGCGACTTCTTTGGCGAACAACTGCGCAAGGCTGGCTACAACTTTCATGGCAACGAGCCAATGTATTCTGGTATAACAGGCCGCGAATTTGCTGCAGACATCTACCTGGGAGTAGTCTACTACCAACGTCTAAGGCACATGGTCAATGATAAATTCCAAGTGCGGACGACTGGTCCAGTGAACGCACTGACCGGACAACCCGTTAAGGGCCGTGCGAAAGGTGGTGGTATCCGTGTTGGCGAGATGGAGCGCGACGCCCTTCTGGCCCATGGCGCTGCTTTCCTCTTGCAAGACCGTCTCATGAACTGCTCGGACATCACTCGTTCCTGGATCTGCAGGACGTGCGGCTCGTTCCTCTCAACGCAGGTTGCTGTCTCTAAACACGTGGCGCCAATCAAAAATCCCGCTATGGCTGCTGCTGCGAAGTCTTCATCGGGCCTTGTGAAGCCAGGTGGGGCAGTGAGTGCGTTGGGTGGTACTTCAGGGATTGTGCGTTGTCGTCGATGTGCGAGAGAGGCGGTCTTTGATGACCCCCGAGCCGAGGTGTGGGAGGATGGAGAGGGTAGAAGGTTCGTTGGCGGAGACGATACAACTGTAGTTGCTGTGCCCGGTGTGTTGAAGTATCTTGATGTTGAATTGGCGGCTATGGGTGTTAAGATGACATTTAAGGTTAATAATTGAGATTCTGTGGTGGATGAATGTGTTTTATCTATATGGGTTGAAAGGGTTTGGATAAAATGAGACCAAAATAAATTCATTTGCCTCCAAGAGAGGAAATTAGGGTTAAGAAGGCTAAAAATATCTCATTATTTGTCGCTTTTGATATCTTTGCTGCCATTTTCAATTTTGGGTAAATTATCTTTCCGTGATCTCCTTGTTTATGGTGAGTATAAAAATGATTTCTATTGGAGTAGATTTGTTGATATACATTTCAAAACAAGAATTATCGCGGCAACTTTGGCTAAGATGGGATGTACATACGTTCTATAGTAGCAGACGGTTCATATCATTCATAGGTGACGCATTCATCTCTCTCCCTACTCCTATTCATGGGGAATTGGCTGATTGTTGGGATGATGCATGAACCCAAGGTCCAGGGGCACCTTGGCAAAATTCAGTTAAACCTTTGATTAACAATATATAAGATTCAACAGCAAATTTCCCGGGTGAAGAAACGGCGTGGACACAAGGGACCATTAGGCCATTTCTGCGTGACACGTTATTCCTCATAACTAAGTGAAGGGCGAGAAATTCTCTATAGGTAGATCATATATCTAACAAGTGGCTCTGAACGTTACGAGAGCATTTAGCATCCCACACACGCAGAAAGGATGGCATCGATTTTGCGAAACGCATAGATCATTCTGGGACAAGAAAAGCGACTTGCTCAAAGTAATTGGGTCCCTCCTCATCATAACTAGAGACTCAGAACCGTCTGCTAAGACATGAAGTGGTTTCCAAAAAAAAAAAAAAAAAAAAGGATTGGTAACCAGGTAATAATAAGAAGTTATACTCCCTACTTCGTAAATGACACAATTCTACCCATTTATTTCTAGCAAGCTATATAACACAAGTGGCAGAAGTAAGATTTAAAAATTGGAAAAACGTGCCAAACCTCTCATCGTATTAAGAAGGCAGGAAAAAAGAAGAAAAAGAGTTTCACCGTTTCACTCCAACGTTCCCGTTACATTCGAGAACTCATTCTTCTCCAGTTTCGTCTTCCAGAATATCGGGTTAGTATCGCTGAATCCATGCTTCTCCCATCCAGCCTCCTTAATATGGTACAGGTTAATAAAACCACCCGAATACGCATCTCTGTGTGTAGCAGCGAGGATACTCCGTCTCCCCAGCTCCAACGCCTCTTCTTCAGTCAGGTCATATCGATATTCCGCGTCCAGCACGCCGTATGCAAATGTTTGGCCAGATCCAACGCAAAAGAGATTTCCTGCTAGTCGGGTCCCATCTGAGTCGATGTAGTAGAGAGCAGGTCCTTCTTGCGGCGTTACACCAGCGCACATGGTGCCCATGCTTAATCCCATGCCCTTGTAGTTGTAGACGAGGTTGGCGAGGATCTTGGAGGCGGCAGCTACGGATATGCGGCGTTTGTGGCGGAGTTCGTGGAGGCGGCATTGCATGCCTAGGTAGGCGAGCCAGTATTGACAGTCCTACACATAACAGGGGGTAAGTAGGAGGTCTTCGGTGGTTTCTGGCAGTGTCTTGGGTTTGGAAGTCACTTCAGGAATGATCCAGATTCAACACATAGCAGCAGCCAAGCAGCGACAACAAAATTAAGATCCATTTTCAAATCTAGAAATGTATGAGAACGATGATAACACGTACAGCAGCACCACCAGCCATGGTCCCCAATAGACAGCTGTTGATCTCAATGACCTTTTTAACAGTCTGACTTGCGATCCAGTTGCCAGCGGTAGCTCTGGAGTCTGTCGCTACGATGATTCCGCCTTGAAATCTGAATGCAAGAGTTGTGGTACCATGAGCAAGCTTAATGGGGCAGTTTGGGTTGGCATGGTCATCGGTTGCGGCTCGCAGGAAAGCGGCGGGCTAAGCAATGCAGCTGTCAGCACAAAACAAAACGTGGACAGTCCAAGATGGCCGTCAATAACTCCTAATCCTCACATATACCCACCTTATCTACTGGAGGAAGAGCGAACTTTAGAGACAAGGGAGGCAGTGTTGCTGTAAGCTCTTGCTCTTCGTTCTGGGAGTAGCGATCGTTTGGGAACATAGGCCGGGAGTATTGGGCTACGACAGTATCCATGATGGGCAATTCTAAAGCGATGAATGAATGTGAAGCGAAAAACACCTAAACGAGAAGAATATATGAAGCAGAGATATTGGTATACAGGTACAGAGACGTGGCAGCGGAGGGTTGGATGTTGTCGGTGAAACAATGAAGAGAGGGTTGAGCTTTGCCTGAGCTGTTTGCTTGCAGTCGCGGCAACAAGCTGCCTGAATCACCTGACAAAAGCTCGGGGGCCGGGGTTTGTGCTGAAGAGGCTGAATTGCTACCAAACGAACGCCCTAATGATGGGGGTATGGCCGAGTGGTCTAAGGCGCTGCATTTAAGTTTTAATGAGAAACTGCAGTGAACGAAAGTTCGCGCGCGTTCGAACCGCGCTGCCCCCAGATGATCTTAATTTTGATTCTTTAAATTTTTAATTTAAATATTTTCTTTTGTTCTTGGGTTTCTTTTTGCTTTGTGTCACTGCCACGAAAATTGTCAGATATCGATGTCGACAATGTGATTTGGTTAGATAGATAGGTCTTGTTTCCGGCGTACCTTGCTGTGCGCGGCCTTCATCCCGCAATGCTTTTAAACATGTTGCTGTTGAGAAATATGTGATGCCACCCACGAAATAACAGTTAGTTACAAGTAATTCTTAGGTTCATCTCCCCCTTTTTTGATATGTCCGCATACTGGCTGCAAGTTGGAAGGAGTACTCTTGCGGAATACCTATTCCCAAGTTTGGACATTGTTGCTCAAATGTTTCCTTAAAGTTCTTCCGTAGTTATTTTACTACAATATGCTATCACGCTGCTGGTTCAAACGACGCAAATCGCCCGCAGTCTCAACCACCAGAATGTGCACAGGAGAGTGAGCGATCCACGGCAGTACCCCACGGGACCCAATGCAGAGCCAGGCGATATATGAATGACATCTGATCGGTTTGGTTGCGATTGCCTTGAAGTTTTGCTGAACTGTCAAGGATAATATTTCAACTGTCACTGGATTGTTAAAATTACATGTTAGGAGAATAAATAACTATAACATATCCCATGCAATGCCAATCAGGTACACTGGAAAAGAAAAAAAAGAAAAAAAAAACCCCCTTTACCATAGACGCCCCAAATCCGGTTTCGTTTTTCTTCGAAAAATACTCCACTTGCTCCCAAACCCCCTCTCATATCTTTCAATTTGGAATGGAATTGACATTCCTAAGCTGAAATCATAACTCCTTACGAAAGCGGCACGTGCGGCTATTTATACCATTTGCACCTGATAGCGTGGTAATGCATATGGCAACAAAACGCGAGAAGGAAAAATGGAAACTTCAATCACAATCAACCTCCATTCTCCTCTCCCTACGCAGCAAAAGGCTGCGGCACCGAAGATCCAGGACTCATCTCCTCTTTGTCATAGGAAACTTCACCCCGATCATCATTGATTTGGCCAGAAGGCATCAAGTTCGCTCCCATTCCAGCAGTTGCAAAATGGATGGGTTCGAGGCTGGGCTCCCATCTTCGAAGATCCTGCTCAGCGTCATTGAGGACTTGACGGGCATGTTCAGCGTGTTCGTAAGGACCCCGGGTGTCACCGGGGACAAGGGGGGTGTCATCCAGCAAATTAAGGAGACGACGGCCGTGACGGGCAAGGATAATTTGTTTCTCTGCCCTTTCTATGGTGGCTGCTAGGTGGATGTCGAACGCCTCCTTTAGCTTTTGACGCGTCTATGGTGTGGGAAGAGGTTAGTTAGCACCGGCAGGAAACTGAGATAGCTTCAGGGGAGAGGCTTAGGGAGATCAATTGATATATCAAACATACAATATTCGTCAACTGCGCTTCGGCCACCAACATCTGTGCCTCTGCCCGCACCAACTCCTGCTCCAAGCTCACCAGCTTATTGCTATTCGGGTCCTTAAGCTTCAGCTTCTGGATTTCATCAACGACTCGCACCTTGTAGTCTCTGGCTGGCTGCACGGAGCTCTCCGTGTTACGAATATGCTTGAGAACATTACGATAATCCTCCAGATTCTGAGCGTAGAGGTCTTCCTGCTCTCCCATCTCGGCGAGCAGCACACCCATCTTATCAGAGAGGTCGGAAACAGCAACATCGCCTGTGGATTCACCCCAGTCGGACAGCTGCGAGGCAATGGAGACGCGGTCCCGACCTGCGTTCTCGTATGAGCCAATGGCGTGATTCTCCGCCTTGATTAGCTTGTAGAGCTTTCGACACAGTTCGGGTTGCTGATTACCGCGTAGTGTCGCCATGCTGAAACGGTGCTTGACCGGGCGGTCCATTACTTGGCTCTTTCTGCTACGGATGGAGCGCGAGCGGTCCCTGATGTTTTGAGATACTATGTTAGTGGCATGGCTGTGCATCTCGGATATTTGGGATCAGCAGCATGAGGGGGTTGTGAGGAGGTGAGATAATATTGAAGTGATAGAAGAGAATTGTTTGTTTTGCTCACTTACATTTTGGATAGTGTGTTATTTATTGTGTTTTACTTTTCAAAGTCATGAGATTCTGGATATACACCTCAGAATGGAAATAACTGTTGCTCTATTTGCAGAGATTCCCCCTCTCCTCTTTTTTTTCTTTTTTTTTTCTTTGAGATACACTGTATGTTATTGAGAACAAACAAGATATGCAGCGACACAAGTTAAAAACAACAACCCAGACACAGAAATCACAGAAGAACAAAAGGAGAAAAGGAGGAAGAAGGAAAGGGAGCAAAAACAAAACAACAGTCTTTTTCTTCTTTGCATTGCTGCTTCCATCACTTCTCAATGACGGCAGTAGGGCTGCATATTGCAGTGGCCACTGACGTCACATAGAACGAATGCTATACTTTCTTAGGCACAAATCTATATAGCGTACCCGACTTGTGGGGGAGGCATCGAATATTGCTAGCAAATGTGCAGACGAGCTATGGTTAGTTGAGGGGTTAAATTTGTATGTGCTTGTGTCATAATGTGCTGGGCTGTGTGGCCCATGGTTTATCTTCTTGGGGAGTCATTTCAAAACTGGGGTAACTATTTGAACCATGGGCAATATTACCCAGATATATCGCACGGTCGTAATGGGGTTTTTGCAACCGCAGGGTTCCGCCATTGAAGTTTATGTACGTGGGGGTGATGTGATTAGGACTATTTTGCTATAGCTAAATGCTAGTTATAGTTGATATGCAAAGGAGGCCACTTATAGTTAAAAGATAGATAATACCAAATGTCGGACCATTCAACCACGTGACCTATTTTTTCTCCATATGAAGTTGTTCTTGTAGTTAGCAACCTTTGAAATGAAGGAAAGCTTGCCATTCTGTTATTAAATGGGGTTAAAAATATCGCCTTAAACAGAAAATTAAAAGCTATGAAAGCTAAATAAGAGAGTGGAAATGTTATAAATAAGATCTCATGGTAAAAATGCTCAAATTCAATCTGAATACCTCGCCCATCATCTCTCGTGTATCCCAAAGACAAAAATAAAATGAAATGAATGACAGATAAATGGATACGATATGTTGCCACCCCAGAGTATTCACAAAGTCAATCTTAATCGCTCTCCACTGGCCGTCACTCGCGGCAAAAGCATCGGCAGGTTGTTCTATAATTAGTTGGGAGAAAAGTCGCAATTTGTCCACGAGGAACTAGACAGCCCCGAGACAATTTCCGGCCTGTCTTATCTCTACCCCTGGCTTTCAAATTTGCTGGTGTCGATATGTTGAATATAGACCCGTGGAAACAGTAGTTTGGATCTATCCGTAACATAATCCCTAAGCCAGGCATCAAACCTAGGTTTTCTCTTTCCGCCAAAAGCGAGGTGGACGCACGCCATCTCTATCATTTTCACTACCTCTGACTTCCCCAATCCCGATACAATCTTCTATCACATGAATCCGGCCCATTTCTCAACGATTGCACGCACACGACCCCCAAACCAACCTCCTAATCCCGTCAACATCCACACATGCATCCAACGATAGATGAAGGTCTGCTCATACAACGGCTGCTGGAGTAGTAAGAGAGCCTGCTCCGCGGGGGACATCCGTGATAGATCGTGATCGTCCGTGGATAGCTCGGTAACACAATTACGGGGGTACGGCGCGGGCAGCAAAGGGATGATAGCGGGTAGGTGCGTATGTTTCGAATCGGGTTGATGTAGTAGTAGCAGTTGCAGGACCTCCCGCACGACCGACCACAGGATCTGTGGTTGGGGATCGGCATGGGTGTAGGGCAGGAGCCAGAGCCAGAGCCAGAACCAGAGCTGGAACTAGAACTGGAGCTGGAGCTGGAGCTGGAGCTGGAGCTGGAGCTGGAGCTGGAGTTGCGGTTGCAGCTGCAGCTGCAGGAACACATTGTAAGTGGGTTTAGTCCTGGTTTTACTGTTTCACGGTTTCGAGCTTCGGGAATGAACGCTTCCGGGCTGCTGGTGCTTGCCGGCTGGTTTGGACTTGAAGTTTCGCTGTGGATTTGGCCCTTACTGTCAGTCTTGTGATCTGAATGTTCAAAGATGACACTTTTACGTATATCTATGTCCATAATGGGATATATGCCCTTCGGGAAGAGGGGTATAACCAGTATGAAAGCATGTAAAAGGGGATCCAGAATAGTCCATAAGTTGGAGCCCAGGACATCTCACCTAGCACTCTTGAGTCCAACACCACTGTCAAGCTGTCATGATATCGCTGACCATCAGCTAAGAGGAAGCATAGGTTACCTAGATAGATGACCAAGTATGTTTCATCTCTCAGCTCCGATTCTGCTTATATCCTAGGCGACAAAAGAGAAAAACAAGAAAACGCAACCACTAGTGGTTGCGGGATATATTGGAAAACAGCCCTGTAACCGGACACTATTCTTGAAGACTGTGCAATGTAGTTAGAAATGAAAAAAGAGGAGTTGGTTGTAAGAGAGAAGAAGACGGGGTATTGAGAGAAAAAGAAGAAAAGAGGATAAGGGGTGGAATAGAAGACATAACACAATTTTGTTCATGTGCTCTGACATATATCATGATATATGGAAAATGCAACTCGTGCCCACTCCTTCATTCATTAGAGGATCTCATCACCACCTCCGGAGTGCTTTTCTAATGATAGACATCCGTTTCATCGAAATTCCGGCAGGTTGGTATCACGCTGGTGTTGGGAGCCACCCTGGGATCTTCGCGCTCTCACCAAGAAAAGAAGAGGAAAAAAAATCTGTTATCAGAATAGAGAAGCACATGCTGTGAGTATCGTCTGCACAACAGGGTGTCATATATCTCTTGCTTCCCCCCTCCCCTCCCAGCAATATCACTACGTAGTGGTCTGCGGGATGGTGGGCGAGTCCGTTTGATGGTGATCCCCAGCCACATCTCATACTCGTCACCGAAGCATGGTTCTGTCATTTTCCCTTCGTCCCCTGTCATCTTGATCCTGCAGGTCCCATCATACCTGCCTCTAGCTCTGATCCGGATGATATAGGGTAAGGTGTGGCTGCGAAGCAGCTGATGCATGCGGACAAGAACTGATTTCTGTGCGAATTTTAGGTTGTCACATGATCTGGATGGGCGCTATTGTTGACCATTTGTATCTCAGCGCTTGTGACCTCGAATCTGAGGATTCACACGAGGATAAAAGACTGGAAATATAAATAACAGAGTAAAGAAATATCTATATTTAGCTACCCATAAGCACAGAATACACGGAGAAATTACAGAGGACCTAGTTACGTGTCTACCGGCCAGTGTCCAGTCGGACAATACTCCGTATTAACAACTACTCTCTGCGAATGGCCATTTAACTTCTGCGAGATCGCGTTCTGCGCCTATGTCGAGCCGTATGACTGGTCGAATCCCATGGACCTATCACCGGACAGCGTATAATCGAGGTTCATGAATTGTTTTAAAAAGGCCTCAAAAGGTGACTGGAGGAGGAGACAGTACGCAACGGACCTGAACATAAAAATGATAAATTTTTCTTTTTTAAAGAAAATAGAAGGGGGTAGGAATGTCAATCGAATTCTAGTAAAAACATTCCATGGGCCAACAAGATGGTTATCATGAAGAATGAAAAGATAAACTAATGAAAGAAATGAAAGACATACCCTAACACCCGTTTACCTCTACTCTGTGCATCCGCTTTGAAGAAAGGGAAGGTATATCAGAACCAATGCGGTAATCAAGAAGAAGAAGAAGAAGAAGAAGAAGACTCTACATCATTTCATTTCATATTCATATATTAGTACACTCAAAGCCCCAACCCAACGCGAATCATGAAATCTCCTCATTATCAGGCTGCTGCTCCCCGCGCTCAGCCTCCGACGCATGGAAAGCTTCCCCAAACGCAGAATTATCAAGCTCCTCCATTCCAAGATCATCATTCTGCTCACTGTACGCTGCCAATGCGTCTCCGGCAGAGTCAATATTGCTGAACCCAGCTGCGTCGTCGAAATTGTTTGTTTCAAGCGAACTGGGCTCACCCAATTCAATGTTACCGGCAGTCGTTAGTCCTTGAAGTCCACTCCCTGGTGGGCCTGTTGCTGGGGCTGCTGCTGCTGCTCCCGCAACTGCGACAGAGAGCTCTGCGCTGGAAGGTTTACCGTTTCCTTCAGTAGGGGCAGTGCTTTCATTTGCCGGAAAGTTGTCTTCCTTGCTAACCATCACCCAGTCGCCGGTTTCCTGATCTGTAGTGGTAGTGGGAAGGTTGTCACTCTCCACCCCGCCCATCTCGACATCGCCACTAATATCCGGCTTAGAAGGCACAGCCGGAAGTAAGGTGCCAATTACTGATGGCGCTTGAGTGGTGGTATTTGGTAAAGGGACATTAGCCTTTTCAGTCTCATCAGTCTGCTGAACAGATGGAGCTGTTATAGGGACCGGTGCGGGAACTGCTGTGATAGCGGCTGGTGGCTGTCGTTGTGCGGAATCAGCTACCCCATCAAGTTGACCAGGTAAGGTAATGTTGGCCCCAGCCATATCGACGTCTCCCACAGAAGAACCATTAGCAGGCTTGGGTGTTGGCGCCCTTTCCTGAAGACCGCCTTTCTCGACACACGCAACTTCGCTGATTGGTACAATTGCTTTCCCGAAATGCCTCTCCAGGTTGCGAACAATATCATCAACTTTAGCTTTCGGACGATTGTCAGGGTAATCAATTTGCAGAGATTCTTCTCCGGCAAAAGCTTCCAAGCGGCCCTCAGCTCTCCAGAACTCAGTTCCCACGTCATCAGGGTCTATGAAGGCATCACGGAGCGCTAGCTCAGCCTCTTTCAGAACTGTGATTCGTTTCATCTTTTCCAACCTTTTAGCGTGGATTTTTTTCATCTTTTCAATCTCAGCATTTATATCAGAGACTTTGCGATCGACAGATTTGGCAAAGGCCTCTGCTTTACCGGTTTCCATTTTCCCCGTGGTGTTCGGAGCACTGAGCTCTTTCTGCGCAAGAGACGGGCCTGTAGGAGCATCAAAGAATCCAGAAGTTAAAGATTCAAGTTCTCCTTTCCTACCAAGTCCTAGATCCACAGGCATGATCTGCCTCACACTGTAGGGAGAACCAAAAATTTCATCCATCCATTCGTGGTGGTGACGATACCTCATCTTGCTGATATCCCGTGGGGTAATAGCATCCAGCATGTCTCCCGTCGAGACTTCTTCTTCCTCTAGAGAATAGTCTGGTACAGCAACATTCGCCATGGCTGCCGCTGCTGAGGAGCGACTCGACCTTGCAGCTTTACCTTGCGGTCCAGGTATGTTCTGCCCTGGTTGTGGTTGGTAGAATGGACCAGCCTGCTGTCGGCCTAGGAGAGGGTTTGCGTATGCAACACCCTGTTGCGCAAAGTTTTGCTGTCCTACTTGTGGAGGAAGGTTGATGGTTGGCCAGCTGTTCCGGTCGTGCAGCATGAACTCCTTCCGCACAAGTTGTCCCTGGCTCTGAAGAAAACGTCTTTGAGCTAGAATATTGTGCATCTGAGGAGTGATTTGAATCCGGTTCACGGGTAATTGATCTACAGATGGGGTTTTAGAATAGTGAATTATCCATAAAGATGGATCGCAGGGCAAAACATTCGCATTCGGGTTTTTAGAGGGAGTCAGACGGTATCGCTTCCGACAATGTGCAGCTATCGTTTCATTGGGTGAATGATATCCGCAGCGCTGAAGATAAAGCTCTAGATTCTAAATACATACAGGTATTAGGAGAAGTGAAGAATAGGAAAAGGGGCAAAAAAGTTCTTCTCCTTACGTAGCCTCTTATTTCTGTGCTGTAGAGCTGCTCCGCGTCTGCCCAAAAATAGCCGTCGCTCGCGAAATTTGTACCAAGGTAATTCAGGGGCTGCCACGTTAGGAGCACAGTCCCATCAGGAGGGCCGTCAAGGAACATCCAGTGCACCGTCTGTAACTCTCGAACAACCTTGGGCGCCGAGATGAGGTAATCGACAGCAGTTTCGTGGGAGAGAGTGCTCGTCAGGGGATACCGGTAGCTGGAAACGAGGTGCATATGGGGCAACTGTAAAACAACGTATTAGCTTCATGGTATCTCAGGACTCCCATACTTCCATTGATCGCAAGGCTATCCTACAAGCTGTTGAGGCACCCCTCCCGCGGGATCGGGCATCCTCGCGGCTGCGTTCTGCCTGCTCATTCAGGCGGCGGTGACAATGAAAACGGTGGAGAAGAAACAGACACAAGTCCTCATGCAATAAAAGAACAATAAACTTCAGAGGTCTTTTCCAGGAAGGGCTAAAGGCGATGCTTGGGATGACGGATGCCGAACGCGACAAGAGCAATAGTTTTTATGCGACAGATCTCCTCCGTCTGTACCATTTGCTCTCTACGTTGGTGATAAACACCATTTGTGCAGAAACATATTATCACGTGATTTTACTTGGCATTGCGGATTCCAACTCCACCTCGGGCTCAATATAATTTCAAGAAGTCTAAATCGGTTTTATTCTGCCTGCTGCACGTGATCTAGATAGCCCGCATATAGCGCAGCCAGCCTCCCCTCGGTTGGGAGAATCGAACGGTCCCCGGACGAACGCGATATTCGTCATGAGAAATACATTTAACTATCCACGCGATTAAGCTAGGCCAGATCGGGGAAGAGCCTGGCGTTGAGCCAACACACTAATCAATCCAACACTCAGAGTACAATTGTGGAGCATTGGATAAATGTATATACGGGATACAGTTATGGAATATGCAGTATCAAAAGCTCATAGCCGGCAATACTCTTTTAAACACCATCATATGATACACCAGTTTGACGCTTTGTTTGGTCTCTCTTCACTTAAAGGTTGATACCGCATTGGGACATTTGAGCTGGTTTAGAGATGTAGTTAGTTGACTACAGGACGGTGATACCCCTGGCAATTTTGTCCATAAAGTGGTATTCAAGATCTCATCTCAACGCATGGTTTCAATGTTTTTCATGATAGCTTTTATTCCCTATGGCAATCTCACTCTTTAAGTCTCAGCGTTAGAATGGAAACAAACTCAAAAACGTGAAGAGTGGATTTTCTGTGGTGCATGTTGACAAAATGGAGGTGAAGAATTGCCAACAGCTCTCTCATATGTTACCTCCCTCCGTATTATTGAGATGGACAACAAATTTCCCAGTACTTCATAGGCCCACAGGTGTGTTATTAATAAAAGGCCTGGCATTTTTGCTTGATAATGGTTAAGACCATAATTCCTTCACGAGTCAATAAAAAGCGCCGGAAAGCAAATGGTGGCAATTGCAAAGCAGAAAAATGCTCTGGCACGTAGGGTAGTGACAGTCATTCTGCGCTGGCCATGCAGCAATTTTCACCCGAAAGAGCGAAAAGGAACCCACGTCCAATTCCCGCAAAATCTTGTCATAGCCGTTCAGTTGCCACACCAGGTTCTAGTTATTTTGAGTAAATCCTCGATGAATTCAGGCTCGCCTTGTGGCAAATCATCAAAGGCAAAGCTTTCAACAAATTTGGGAACAGTATCATTCTTCTGCCCAACGTCGTTAAAGCGTTTATTGGTGGCTGTCTCTTTGCTTTCTGCACCACCAAATACTTCAAACACATCGTTATCAAGATCAACCACATAGGCCCACTCGCAGAAGAATGACTCATTCGCAAACTCCAGTTCCAGGGAATGTGGTATTTTTTTCTCCGGTGTAGATTGAGCAATCATTTCGAGGATATCGCCGCCTACCTCGCGGGAGAGAGAAGGGTAAAGGTGCTTGAATATGTTGACAGGCATGGGGAAGTCAGGGTCACTTTCTGCTTTCTTCTCGTAAGCGTTTCTGTTCATGGTGCTGACTTTTATATAGATCTCGTCGAGCTCTTCCATGGACAGATATTTAATGTTCTCAAGACCTTCAGTAAGACGCGTAATATTTCCTGGGACAACAAGGAATTTCAAGATTTTCAGTCCTTGTCCCTGGGGGAATCCGTCGAATTGCGCGTATTGGGCAACAACGAAGTGCCCTTGATAGAAGACGCATATAAGACTACTGACGCCCATCTTTGGATGAGCAATGAGATAATTAGAAAGACCTAGCAACGATGGATCCCCACTTGAAAATAGCTATGTTTTCGTAATGTAGTGAGGGACGATATTAGCCAAGGGTTTTGAGGTTGATGGACGTCGACAACTGAGGGGTAACCAGGGAGCTGCAACAAGAAAGTGGGGTGTGGAGCAGCCTTTAATATATTGGGGGTCGACGTAGCTGGCTGTATGATTCCGCGTATAGACTAACTAGCTAGTTTCTCCCTCCAATACAAGAATCTCAGTGCCCAACTTCAACCACCCACTATGGCGCCCAATGAAGAGGTTACGCAGTCGCTCCCTAATTATGCTCAGGTTGCAACAGAATTCAGAATCAATTGAACAACATCGATGTGACACTACAAAGACAGCCTCTATATACTGTAGGCATCTCACCAACACTGAAGAAAACTGCTTGCTGCTTCAAATAAACTGTCTTGCATATAGTTACTGGCAATGACTTAGCAGATCAAGTAATTGCAAAAATAAAAAATTTTGTCAACTAAAGAATAGAAGTATTCAAAAGATTACTTTTTAATTAGTTTTACAGAAAATATAAAAAGTTATATTCAAAATATATTCAAAATAAAAAATATACAAATGATACGTATTTTATAATAAAAACAAAATTAAAAATATTTAATATTATAGTTTAATTATATTACTTTTATTTTTTTTTTTTAAATTATAAGTCATTAAAAAAATTAAAAAACAATAATTTTAAATTAAATAGAATTTTATCTCAGAATAAAATAGTATTTAGACAAAGATACAGTAGAAAACAAGTTTATACATACTTGATTTTATGAAATATCAGTAAAAAAAATAGAAATAATAGATTTTTTTTAAAAAGGAATATAGTAGAGAAGAATCCCTCTTGACTCGGGACCCGGAGATGTACCACTCATGGAATAAGAAATGGAAAGGGCATTGAACAATATACATTACAAGGAGATTCTCCAGAGACTCTTGCCTTTCATCGCAGAGAGTACAGTGATGCTATGCAGCGGTATATAACCCTGCAAGGGAACCCCTTTGAATTTTGCGCTTCTGCTACTCAGGGCTCATCAGTGACACAAAAATCACTCTTTGTTGAGAACCTGTTTATTGCAGCTGAGGACTCTATGTAGATCTGGGATTCTTACCAAATTCATTTAGAAAATTATTGAATTGGCACAAGAAAATTCTTCAAGTCATATCAATGACAAATATACGGGATTTTGGAGATATTAGATATAACTGAAAAGCTGGCAGAGGGTAAAATGGTAGGAAAGCTTGATTTTCTTAGAAAAGGTCTCCTCAATCAACGTTTTTGTGAGATACTATCACAAAACTTTCGGATATTCGGTTATAGTTGAATTAACCGTGGGCCTCGAATGAAATACCAGTCTGCTTTCAGGAGATATTCCTGTTTATAATAGAATAAAGTCAGCATCATCTACCATCACTAAACCACTTCAGAATCAGCTCTAGGGCACTTACTGCAGGGTTGCTAGCTATCATGCTGCTGAAAGACTTCTATTACATGAAAGAGTGTTATCAGCTTGGTTAGATACATTACTGAGTCAGGCTGTCTGTACTGTCTATTCCCTTGATGCTCAAAGAGAAATTCCTTGAAGGGCTCACCTGAACGCATATATGTGTTTAAAATTATGGCACTTAAAAAACTATTTGAAATATTAGAAGTGGCAAAATATCAGGTAAGTACATATGTACATACCCCTCCCCAAAATGAAGTAAAAAGGGTTTCCAAAATACCAGATTTTACTTTTAAACAGGGGAGGCCAAAATAAATGAGCAGGGGGGCAAGCTCATGCGATGTCTTCCATGATATTCTTCAAATTCTCACAAAAAATAGAATTTGGCGCCAAAAGCTTTCAATCTCATGGAAAGTGGTGTGTCATTCCTTGTCGGCCAAAAGCGCGGCGAAGTAAGAAATGTGCCCTTAGCAGCTAAGCATCAGAAACAGTTGAGGTTATGGCTTCTTTGAGAACTGCATTTTCGATCTTGGCTCTCCGGAAGTGAGAGAAGCTTTCTAGGTCCGCCACTTTCAAGTGCACCGGGAAGGGGTGAGATGACATAGGTTATGTAGTTGGAGTAAAACACCTTCATACGCAGGCCAAATCACCAGCACCCAGTGGTCGTATGTTTAAAATCAGCAAGCTGGCGGCCCAAAGTCAAGCACAATCGAGTTGAGTGGGCACACACTCCAAAAGGGCCCATTATAAGAACCCATCAAATTTCTATCTGGATGTTTCTTTGCGCAATAAGGCTGTACTCCGTATATCAAGCCACTTTCAACTAGATCAAGGTTAGCCCAAGCCCTGACTAGAGAAAGCTTAAAACCTAAATTTCACGACCGAATCAGAATCAGGTGACCTCGGAAAATCGTTGTTCCGTTAGCCGGGAGGAACGTACTACAACGGCTGTCCATAACTATCAAAGTTGAAGATTTTCTTACGGAACATATGTAAAGAAAATATCCAACCAGAATGCCTTGATAGAAGCAAAAGGCTCTTTAAGAAGTGGATTCCTGGAACCCAAATGTCAACAATCTAAAGAAACAAATGTACCCACTGAACCCCCCTAAAAAGCCAATAAAATATCCACCACCCAAGTGTGAACAGAAGACGAAAGACTTGCATCTAGGGTATATATAATTTGGCTGTCCGGAAACGTTCCCTGTCTTCAAGACAAAGGTCCCAACCAACATAAGAATGGGGATGTCTCTCTAACCCCCTAGATATATTAAAGGGAACAAACAAGGCAGCTCATACGGAAGACGGAACTTGGCAGCCTGTGCCGCGTTTAGCCGATGTTGTTGGATTTTCGCGATTTGGGCGAATCCTTGTCTGCAAGCCATCCATTCAATCCAGACAACAACTCCCACTCTTAGGCTGCGTGTCCATTGGATGTTGGTGAGGCTGACTGGCTTCTCACCACCGCATCAAATGCTTTGGCGACGTACTTGACATTTTTCGTCGTCACTATATTCGATAGCCGAACGCAGGCGGTCAGCCGATTTCATATTTCCCAACATGCCTTTCTTTCAAAAGGATTTTCTCCAGTATGAATCAAAAGGGCTGGTAT